TGTTTCCCAGTGCATAGTAAACTTACATTTAGTCTACTCCACAGAGTACTAAATGTGCAATAGCATTATTTAAAAACAGTTTAAAATATTGTGAACATTACCAAACATGACACAAAGATGCAAAGTGATGGGAGACATGGTGCCAGTAGACTTGGCTTGATGCAGGTTATCATGAGCTTTCAATTTGTAAAAAGGTGGTTTATCTAGAAAGCTCATTGAAAACAAAGTGCAATAAAAATGTGGTATGCCTATAAACAGTAAACTTCCTACTCTTGTAAAGGATACCACCTTTTTGCTGATATGAAATAGTGAGCTAATGTACACCGACTAAAAGAATTTTGTTTGAAGCTTTCAGCTGACTCTCCCTCAAAATATTGATGGTTAGATTCTGACGTGAGCAAATGCCAGCATGTATGCTTAGGAAAATAGGATTATATCAATATCTGCTGTTTAAGGCTATCTGGTCACTGTGGTATATTTGGAAGGATGTAACTCTGGGAGTTAACTGGATTAACTCATATCCTAGGAATTAAATTGATAGTGTTGTTGTTATATGCTATTGAGTTGGCTCTAACTCATAGTGACTCTTTGTACAACAGCTCTGAATACCTGCCCTATCCTGAGCAGAGCTTATTTTCTCCAACACCTATCCCCATTATCCTAGTCACTGAGGCAACCCATCTCACCCAGAGTCTTCCTCTCTTGTGCTGTCCCTCCACCCTCCCAAGCATGATGTTCCTCCCCTTCTTGCAACATGCCCAAAGTGAGCAGCCTGGTTTCACCCTCTCTAGGATAGACCTGTTTGTTCTCTTAGTAGTCCATGGTGTATTCAGTACTCTTCTCCAGCACCACAACTCAAAGACAACAATACTTCTTCTAACATCCTTAATCTTTGTCCATCTCTCTGCTGGATACATAGTAAGTGATTGCAAAGACTGATGCCTGGATCAGGCACACCTTAGTTTTTAAAATTACATTATTGTTCTTTAATACTCTGGAGAGGTCCCTGACAGCATATTTTCAAATGCAATTTGTCTGTTGATTTCCTGGCTGCTGGCACCAAGAGTGTTGATTGTAGAGAATAGTCACTGTCAATTGTTTAATGAAGATATTAATATATATAATGTTGCAACCAAAATATTAAGAAAAATGATAAACATCAGAAAAAAATTAAATAGAAAATGTATTTCTAGTTTTCATGTGTTATAAGTAATTACACTGCAAACTCTGAAGAGTAGAACACAGAAGAACATTACAAACAAATAGTAAAATTTGTGAGAGGTTTCCAAGGTACCTTTCATACATACATGAATATTTTTTTTGTTTTTTTTTATTTTATTATTTTTGTGTGAGTGTACCGTCAAATCAGATCTGACTGGTACAGGAGAAGATTGTTCCTCCTTCCCCCGGCAGAGCATCTGGTGGATTCGAACCGTGCGCCTCTGGGATTGTAGTTGCAGCTCCTTTCCACTAGGCCACCAGAGCTCCCCTACATGAATATTTTTTTAAAAATAAAATTTTTATTTTATACTGATTTACTTTCAAAGGGCATATACATTATTTCACACCAGCTCTTTCCCATTTCCTTTTTTCCTTTTGATATTTGAAATATATGGAAAGCATAATCATGAAATTGTGAGATATATTTTATAATTCTCAAGCTTTCCTTATTGTTGTGCTTGGTGATCACTAAGAACTAACCCACTGCTAACCTCACAGGGGGCTTTCAGAGGCAGTAACTACACAGGAGGAGATTTTCCATCATTCTCCTGCAGAGTTACTGGTGAATTGGAACTGCTACCTTGAGTTGGCAGTACAGTTTCTTACCACACTAAACCATCACCGTTTCCTAGACAGCCAGAGCTGACTTGGTCCCTTGAAGGTTGGTTTCAACATCACTTGTTATTAACAGAGGAGTATTTTGGTGAGCATTCAAAGATGCCTCTATTCCAAGTTCACTGTAGTGTTTTAAATCCCATTAGTAAAAAATTGTTACTTTGAGTTTAGACCCCCAAACTCTTAAGATTTTCTTGTTTATATAAAGATAATGCCCTTGAGGTTGTATGATTTGGAGAGGCTCTAGAGTACTGGTAATATTCTATTTCTTGATCTGGTTGTGGTTTACATGCATGTGACCTTGAAGATTTATCAAGTTTATAATTTATGTTCTGTTATGCCTTTGAGCTGTGGTGTTGGAGAAGAGTATTGAATATACCATGAACTGCTAAGAGAAGAGTTTTGTCCTTGAGAGGATTAAACCAGGCTCCTCGTTGGAGGCAAGGATTCTGAAGCTTTATCTGTCATCTTTTAACATGTTGCAAGGAGGAAACAGTCTCTGGAGAGGGACATCATGCTTGGGAGGGTGGAGGGACAGCACAGGAGAGGAAGACCCTCGATGAGATGGATTGATTCAGTGACTAGTATAATGGGAATAAGTGTGTTGGAGACAATAAGTTTGACATAGGATAGAGCAGGGTTTAGGTTGCTATGAGTCGCAGGCAACTCGATGGCACATAACAACAACAACAACAACATCTATACCAAAGGAACTCTAATCGTAATTATTATTAATTATGATAAACTGATGTGAAATACCTTTAAAGAATTTTCATGTTTTAGTGAGTTTTAGTTTGTTTGGGATGTGAAGCTCCTCAAGCATCCTAAATGCCTTTTAATAGATCACTTGAAATATGATTTAACTCC